ATATTTAACGATCCTAGTTTATAAAAAGATTATTTAAAAGAGTATAAACTAGCTATAATTAACTTAAAAATCCGAAAAAATATATATACTTTTATAAATATTATTATTATTAATACCTAGGTTATATAATATAATAACTTCGAAATACCTAATTAATTCTTAAATATTATTAATATTATAATATTATTATAATAAAATAAGAAATTTAGAAATATTAAAAAAAAAAATCTAGAGTTATTAAAAAAAATAAAAAATAAGGGGTAATTTTTAGCTATTCGGAGGGTACTTAATATATTATAGTGGGGTTATTAATATTTTAAGCTTAGTTAATATTAATAATTAATAATAGTTATATTAGCTATAGCCGGTTATTATTAATTAATATAAAATCTTATTAAAGTACGTAATAGAAACTCGATATTAACTTTAATAAACTAGTTTATTTATAAAGGCGAAAACAGCTTCTAATAAGGCGGGCTAGACCTTGAAGGAATCTTAATATTATATATTAATGTTATATAATTAATATTAAGGACCACCCGAGTAGGTAATAGAAATAGAATATATAAGTAAATATTAATACTATATAATTAATATAAAGAACTACCCTAGTAGCTAATAAAAGCAGAATATTAAAATAAATAATATAGTCGTAATTAGAAATGAGCTTACTTATTATATGGGTTATAGCTAAGAAATTAAAAAAAGAGTATAATAAAATATTATTTATATAATTAGAAAGGACTTTTTTATATTTTATAAAGTATTTATATAAATATGTAGAAAAAGAAATATTTATAAAGGATTTTAAAAAGCTAGGCTTATATAATAGTTTTTTTCCGGCTTTATAAATATAAAAAATTAACCTTAATAGGATTACGTTTCTAAAACAAATTATATAATATACTATACTTTTTAACTATATAATATATATAATATACCCTAAGTACGCGCTTAATATAATATAGTGATTTTAATATAAAAACCGCTGTATAATTCGGGATAAGTGAACTGCCCTTTACGTAGTAATACTAGTTAGAAAAGTTAATTATAAAGGTTAGTTATAAAGGTTAGAGGTAGCCTTTTTTACTATAAAAGTTCTAAATTTTAATAATAATATAGAGGTTTTTAGTTAAAAAAGCTAATATCTAGCTACTCATACTAAAGCTCGTAAAGATTATTTTTATTTTTATTATTTTTAATATTACCTCAAATTACTTTTTATTAAAACTAAATAAATTTATTAAATAAACTTATTAAACGAACTTATTAATATATAAACTACTATTACTTTATTAAGAACTTACTCTAGGGCCCCCTCGACGCCCTAGCTATCGTAGCTAATATAAGTATACTTAAAGAGTAGCGTAATACTTTTAATAATATAAAGTCTAGCTAAGTAATAATATAAATATTATAAATAACTAAACTAATACGGATATTAAAATTTAATATATTAATATTAATTTAAAAATTATATTTTATAAAGCTAAAAAGATTTTTAATACGGGCTATATTATAAATATAAAAAAATATATAAGGGGCCCCCTAATTTTTAATAAAAAAGAGTATATAATATAGGATTTAGTTACTTATATAAGCTAATACTAAGAGGTCTTATATACGTTAAAATAAGTATAGCTCGCCCTCTAAATAGGTAGTAGAAAGTTAGGAGTTAATAAAAAGGAGATAACGGTCGAGTTAGTTAATTTTAATTAGTAATTAGGTATAGAGGGTAATATACCTAGTTTTCCCTAATACGTAATACATAGTACGGCCCCGGCGGATTACTCTATTAGGGAGAAGAGCTAGGCTTATAATTTTTAATATTAAGAGTATTTTATTTAAGTTTAATATAAAGTTATTTTTTTTTTTTTTTGCCTTTGCTAGCTACTCGGGCAGTTCTCAGTATTATTTATATAATATTAATATATAGTATTAATAGATACTCTTACTATCTCGATAGACTATTCTTTTTAGATTTTCTACCTTTTTAACTTTCCCTCCTATATTCCCTCTTGTAAAGTTCACGACTATAATATAAAGTTATATATTTTAATATTTTTAGAATCCTTTTTAAAAATACCCCTAGCTTAAATTTTTGAATACTTAATAACTTAAAAAATACATTTTCTTAGACCGAACTTAGTTAAATATAAATCTCTTAATATTTCAATAGCTCTTTAATTTTGAATATTAAAACTATAAAGTATATATTAAAAAGGGTATGAGGATTTATATATTTAATTCTTTTATTAAAAGTAGAAAATTAGATATTTTAAAAAGAGAATAGCTTACTTACTTAATATAAAAGAGCTGAAATAAATACGTTTTAAATAAGAAAATAAGTTTTATAATAATTTATAATAAGAACTTTGTTACTATTAATAATCCGTAGTTATAAACTTTCTGTTACGAAGGTAACTTTGTTTACCTTATTATTCGCCTTATTATCAATATTACGTAAGCAAACTATATTATAATAATCTACGTTTTACGTAAATTATTATAGGTATTGATTATATAAGTAATACTGCTTATATAAGCTTACGTGAGCGATAGAAAGTATTAGAAAGTAACGGAATAAGCTAGAATCCTCTCGAGACGGAATTACGTACTACGATTACGTATTCACTTACGTATACGCTTATTAATCTTTTCATAATTAATAAGCAATAGAATATTCTAATAAGAGATTTTTATACTTATATATAGGTATATATTTACCTACCTAGACCTTTTATTAAGTAAGCAACTTCTCTTATAGTAATTTAACTATATTACTCTCTTTACTATAAAAACCTCTTATATATACGCTTATTACCCCTATATTTATATATTCTTACTTCTATATAAATATTTACCTTTATATTCTTTTATAAGAATATCCCGTACCCTATTCAAAGCTATACGTGCTAGACTTTATAAGAGGGAAAGTTAAAAAATTAGAAAATCTAAAAAAAAAGAAAAATAGTTTATTAAAATAGTAGGGGTATTTATTAATACTATGTGTTAATACTATATAATTAATATTGAGAACCGCCTAAGTAATTAGCAAAGGCAGAACATAAAATCAAATAACGAGGGTCTTTTTAATACTATATTATTATAAACTACTATTACTTAGAGTGGTATAAACCTAGCTAAGTAAACATAGGCCTATAAAATAATAATATCGTACTTAATATTATTATTAATCTATAATTATAAACTTTATAAAAAAAAAGTTTAAAAAAGTAAAAGAATATTTAAAAAAATAGTTTAATAAAATAATAAGAGTATTTATTAATACTATATATTAATATTATCCCTTTAGGGTCCGGCTCGCCTTATTAAGGGCTATTTTTATTTTTATAAATAAGCTAGTTTATTAGGGTTAATATCGAGTTTTTATTACGTACTTTAATAAGACTTTATATTAACTAATAATAGCTAGCTATAATTAATATAGCTATTATTAACTATTAAGTTATTAATACTAACTAAACTTAAAATATTAATAACCCCGCTATTATAATATATTAATCGCCCTTTAAATAGCTAAAGACTACCCCTTATTTTCCGCTCTATTTAATAACTTTAGAATATCCTTTTTAATCCTTCTTATTTTATTCCTATACTAACGCTACGTTTTTAAAGTATTAATAATACTTTAGAGTTAGTTAGGTATTTCGAGGCTACTATATTATATAAGCTAAGTACTAATTAAGGTAATAGTAATATTAATATACCTCTTTTCGATTTTTAAATTAATAATATCTAATCCGTATTTTTTAAAACGATCGTATTATAGTTCGGGGTCTTTTAGTATAATACTTATAAAATTAAACTTCTAATTATTAAGGAAGTCCTAAGGGTCAATAATAACTAAGTATTTTAGTATTTTAATAGTATGTGTTTAAGAGTAGGTAGACGATTTAATAATAATAGCGATAGCGCGATAGCGACAAGGTAATAGTAATAGAGTAATAGCGACAGGGTAATAGTAATAGGGTAATAGCGACAGGGCAATAGCAATAAATAGCAAGGGAAGCAGCGTTTTTTAACTTTAATAAAAGAAATAAAATAATAAATATATATACGTATATAAGTTAAAGTTAAGAGTATTAGGGTAAATATCGTAAAGTTAATATTATTTTTAATAATAATAACAAGGGTATTTTTAATACCACTATTATAAGCTATAGTTACTTAAAAAGGTAAAGAACTTAGCTAGGTACGTAGGCTTATAAAATAGTAGCATTAAGTACTTAATATTATTATTAATAATCCGTAGTTATAAACTTTATAAGAAGGAAAGTTAAAAAGGTAAAAAATTTAAAAAAATAGTTTATTAAGATAATAAGAGTATTTATTAATATTATATATTTATATTATATAACTAATATTAAGAATTACCCGAGTAGCTAGTAAAAGTAAAAATAAAAAAACAAATATTTATATTATATAATTAATAATAAGGATTATTTAAATATTTAATAAAAGTAAAAAAAATAATAAAAAAAAATCCTAACTTATAAAAAAACTATTTTAATAAATACTTATTTTTTTTTAATTTATTTATTTATTTTACTTTTACTAATTACTTAGGTAGTTATTAATCTTAATTATTTTTATTTTTTTATTCTATTTTTACTAATTACTCAGGCAGTTGTCGATATTGATTATATAGTATTAATATATAGTATTAATAAATACTCCTACTATCTTCATAAACTATTTTTTAAATTTTTTATTTTTTTAACTTTCCCTCTTATATAATTTAAAATTATTAATAATAATACCAAGCGCTTAATACTATTATTTTATAAGCTTATTACGTATTTAACTAAGTTTATTACCCCTCTAAATAATAATAGCTTATAGTAATATGGTATTAAAAATACCCTCGTTATTATTATTAAGAATAATACCGACCTTTATTTGTTTATATTTTCTACCTTTGCTAGCTGCTCGGGCGATTCTCGATATCGATTATACAGTATTAATATATAGTATCAATGGATACTCCTACTGTCTCGATAGACTATTTTTTCAGATTTTCCACCTTTTTAACTCTCCTTATACCGACCTTTATAAGTACTAATACTTACCTTAACGTTTTTAACTTTAACTTATATATATATATATATATATTCGTTACCTCGTTTCTTTTATAAAATTAAAAAACGCTACTTCCCTTATTATATATTATTATTATATCATTATTATTACTATTACTATTAAACTATTTACTTTAAGAATATTTAGAATAGTAAAACGCTAACGCGTTAATTTATAAGGATACTTTAAGAGCTAGTAGTTCGATTTTATTAATATTATATTTAATAATCCTAATTTATAAAAAGATTATTTAAAAAAGTATAAAATAGTTCTTATTAATTTGAAAATTTAAAAAAACGTATATACCCTTATAAATATTATTATTATTAATACTTAGCTTATATAATATAGCCTTAATTTACTTAATAAACCTAAAAATATTATTAATATTTTAATATTATTATAATAAAATAAGAAATTCGGAGAGATTAAAAAAAGAAATCTAGAGCTATTAAAAAAAGTAAATAATAAGAGGTAGTTTTTAGCTATTTCGAGAGCGATTAATATATTATAGCGGGGTTATTAATATCTTAAGTTTAGTTAGTATTAATAGTTAATAATAGCTATATTAGCTTTAGCTAGTTATTATTAATTAATATAAAGTCTTATTAAAGTATATAATAGAAACTCGATATTAACTTTAATAAACTAGCTTACTTATAAAGGCGAAGATAGCCCCTAATGAGGCGGTCTAGACCCTAGATTAATTATATAAAATAGTAGGAGTATTTATTAATACTATATATTAATACCGTATAAATAATACTAAGAACCGCCCGAGTAGTTAGTAAAGGCAAAAAAAAAAAATACTATAATAGTGGGGTTATTAATTTCTTAAGTTTAGTTAGTATTAATAATTACTTAGTAATAGCTACGGCCGGCTATAGTTAGTTATAAAGTCTTATTGAAATACGTAATAAAAACTTAATATTAACCCTAATAAACTAGCTTATTTATAAAAGCGAAAATAGACCCTAATAAGGCGAACCGGACCCTAAAAAAAAAAATATACTTAAAAAATAGCAAAGTACTTTTTAATAATATAGAATTTAGCTAAGTAATTTTATAAATACTATAAATAGCTAGGCTAATACGAATATTAAAGTTCAATATATTAATACTAGCCTAGTTATTATAATTATAATAAATAAGCGAAAGATATATAAAGTTAAAATAATAAGCTAGTACTTTAAATAGCTCTTATAAAACCCCCTAGGTAATAATAATACTTATATAAAAAAAAAGATTATATTGGACCTAGTTATTTATTTAATTTTATTTAATTTTATATTTTACTTTCTTAGCTCCTCGGGCGGTTCTTAAATATCGTTTTTATAATATTAATATACGGTATTAATAAATATTTATATTATCTTAGTAAACTATTTTTTTTGATTTTCCTTAACTTTCTTTTTTATAAAGTTTATAATATGATTATAGATTATTAATAGTAGTATTAAGTACTTAACGCTACTACTTTATAAGCTTATATACCTAACTAAGTCAGCTACTTTTCTAAGTAATAATAGCTTATAATAATATAATATTAGAAATACCCTCGTTATTATTATCAAAAATAATACTAACCTTATTAATATTTACTATACTTTTAATTTTAACTCGTATATATATATTTATTACCTCGTTTTTTTATTAAAATTAAAAAACGCTTAAATATATTTTATTAAAATATTAAGATACTAATACCTCGTCGACCCTTAGGGCTTTTTTAATAATTAGAAGTTTTATATTATATATATTATATTAAATAACCCCGAGTTATAAAAAGACTATTTTAATAAATATTATTTTTATAATATTAATTTATAAAAAACGGATAAATATATTATAATAAGCGTTAGCCTTATTAGCGCTTTTTTAATATAATAAAGTATAAATAAGCTTAGATATAATAATATAATCAAGAACTTAAAAAAAGTATAAGTAAGCGTATTAAATAGGAATATTAATAAGGAGAGGTTATTATTAAATAAAATAAAGGGAGAAAATAAGGGGTAGTATTTAGTTATTAAAAGGGTGATTAATATATTATAATAGCGGGGTTATTAGTAGTATTTTAAGTTTAGTTAGTATTAATAGCTAGTTAGTAATAGCTGCGGCTAGTTATAAGTAGTTATAAAATCTTATTAAGTACGTAATAAAAACTTAATATTAACCCTAATAAACTAGCTTACTTATAAAGGTAAAGATAGCCCTTAATAAGGCAGGCTAGACCCCAAAAGGACCTAGCTACTTATATAAGCTAGTATTAAGAGGTCTTATACGTATTAAAGTAAGTAAAGCTTACCCTATAAATAGGTAGTAAAAGGTTAGGAGTTTTAATTAGTAGTTAAGTATAAAGCGCTTTAAAAGGAGTATAAACGAGCGTATTAAGTAACAATATTAATAAAAAGAGGTCATTATTAAATAAAATAAAAAGAAAAAGTAAGAAGTAATATTTAGCTATTAAAAGGGTAATTAATATATCATAATAGGATTATTAATATTTAGTAATAGTTATGGCTAACTATAGTTAATTATAAAGTCTTATTAAATATATAATTCAAACTTAATATTAACCCTCATAAACTAGCTTATTTATAAAAGTAAAAATAGCCTTTAATAAGACGGCCCGGACCCTAGAAGATTATTAAACTTTATTATATAAATTAAGTACTAATAAAAATAATACTTATATTAATGTATATATTTTAGATTATGAACTTAATAATATTTAATTCGTATTTTTCAAAACGACTTTGTGATAGTGCGGGGTTTTTTAATATCATTTTAATAGGATTAACGATCCGTGATTATAAACTTAATAAGAGGGAGAGTTAAGAAGGTAGAAAATTGAAAAAAAAATAGTTTATTAAGATAGTAAGAGTATCTATTAATATTATATATTAATACTATATAATTAATATTAAGAATCGCCCGAGTGACTAGTAAAGGTAAAAAACATAAATAAATAAATAGTTATTATAAAATACGTCCGTCCGCTATAATTACTAACTTATTAATAACTTATAATCAAGTATATTCCGGATTTACTATAGTTATAAATTAATATTATTAAGATTATATAGGGAACTACTTAAGTAATCAATAAAAATAAAATATTAAAACTAATAATAAGTTATTTAATTAATACGGTAATATAGTAGTATCTTAACTTATTTAAACTACTCTTAATAATAAAACCTTATTTAAATATATTACTTAGTTTTAACCCCCTAGAAGAGTAATCCGCTAGGGCCGTATTATATATTACGTATTAAAAAAAAACTAAGTATATTACGCTCTATATCTAATTACTACCTAAAATAATAATTAACTGACTTAACTATTATCTCTCTTTTATTAATAGCTCTTAACTTCTTATTATATAAAGTTTTTCAAATTTTAGCTATTTATAGGGCGAGCTTTACTTATTTTAATATATATAAAACCTCTTAGGTTAATAATTTGTTATAAACTTCATAAGAGGGAAAGTTAAAAAGGAGAAAGAAAATTGAAAAAAAAAATACCTTGTTAAGATAATAGGAGTATCTATTAATACTATATGTTAATACTATATAATTAATATCGGGAACTGCCTAAGTAGCTAGTTAAAGTAGAAAATATAAATAAATAAAACCTCTTAATACTAGCTTATACAAATAGCTAAGTTTAATATAATCTATTCTTTTTTTTTTAAATATTATTATTACTTAGAGGGGCTTATAAGAGCTACTTAAAGCGCTAACTTATTATTTTAACTTTATATTTTTAGCTTATTTATTATAACTATTATAACCCCCCCGACGGAGCAATCCGCTGGGGCCGTATTATATATTACGTATTAGGGAAAACTAAGTACATTGCGCTCTATACTTAATTACTAATTAAAATAGTAGTTAATTAACTTAACTATTATCTCCTTTTTATTAACTCCCGACCTTCTACCGCTTTTAGCTATTTAAAAAGCGAGCTATACTTATTTTAATATATATAAGACCTCTTAGTACTAGCTTACATAAGTAATTAGATATTATATTATATACTCCTTTTTATTAAAAATTAGGGGGCCCCTTATATATTCGCTTATATTTATAATATAGCTTATATTAAAGGGATTTTTAGCTTTATAAAATATAATTTTTAAGTTAGCGTCGATATACTAAATTTTAATATTTATATTAGCCCGGCTATTTATAGTATTTATATTATTACTTAGCTAGATTTTATATTATTAAAAAGTATTATACTACTTTTTAAGTATATTTATATTAGTTACGATAATTAGGGTATCGAGGGGGCCTAAGAATCTATTGAGCTTTAGAAGGGGGGACCTATTGAGGGGCATTTTTAAAGAGTCCTAGCCTACTAATTACTAACTATATACTAATTCTTAACAAGTAATAGTTTATATATTAATAAGTTTGTTTAATAAGTTTATTTAATAAATTTATTTAGTTTAAATAAAAAGTAACCTTAAGTAATATTAAAAATAAAAGGATAAAAAGAATCTTTACGAGCTTTAATATAAATAACTAAATATTAGCCTTTTTAGCCCTTTTTTTTTAAAAACCTCTACGTTACTATTAAAATTTAGAACTTTTATAGTTAAGGGCTATTTCTAACTTTTATAATTAACCTCTATTATTAACCTTTTTAATTAGTACTACTATATAAATATATCGCCTAGCTTATTGTTAATAAGTAATAAGGTAGCTTATTTATCCTAAATTATATAGCGGTTTTCGTATTAAAATTATTATATTACGTTAAGCGCGTACTTAAGGTATATTACGCGTATTATATAGTTAAAAAGTATACTATATTATATAATTTCTTTTAAAAGCGTAATCCCGTTAAGGTCGATCTTTTGTGCTTATAAAGCCGGAAAAAAACCATTATATAACTATTATAACTAAACTAATATTAATATATTAGATCTTAATATTTATATTAACTTAGCTATTTATAATACTTATGATATTACTTAACTAAATTCTATATTATTAAAAAGTATTTTATTATTTTTAAAGTATATTTTTTTTTATTCTACTTT